CCCTTGATGCCCTGATGATCTCCCACAGTCAACCAATCGCATGTGAGTAAACAGACCGCGTCGATCGATACTGTTGTTCCATTGGACCAAAACAGTCACACACAAATACGAACGAGATGGACCTATCATCGTTCAGGCTAGAAGCGGCACGACTGACCTTAAGCTGACCTTGCTTTGGCCAGGCTGTCAGAATGAAATCAGATCATCGCCAAGTCGTCCGCCTGCATTTGATTCTCCGACTTGCTAGGCGTGGTGAGAGACTTTAGTCTGCACAATGAAGTTTAGGTTATTCAACAAGCATGCAGTCTTTCAAGAAAATGATCCCGAAGGATCTGACACCGCATGGAATACCACCATATCAACCGTCCCCATCAGTTCTACATCTAATAACCGATTAAATTTGACTGGATATGATCAAACTTCGGATAATTCTATCACTACATGTGATGCCCAATTCAAATCCCCGGTTCCGGCAACTCCCACACCCCTAGAACGAAGGTCTATGGAACCTACACTCGGTCCTATGTTTGACTGCTTATCCGGACCATCACTTCCTCCAGTTACTGGACTGGTATCGACTTCCAGTCACGGAAGTCTGATGTCTTGGTCAGCACCGACCACTCCAGCTAAAGACCCCATTTCCGGGACCGTGCCGATTAGGCCACGTAAAAGTGAGTGCATTGCAGTTTCCTTTTTGTAACAGTGACTCATTTGCTTGGATTTATGTGCATTTGTTACCCTTCAAGAGCGATTTCATATTGTGTTGATAATTTTTGATAGCAAACACTTAGTGGTTTCATAACTCTACTCACCTGAGTCAACCTGGTATGTTTTTCTAACAAAATCCTATGCACAAAGCCTACATACGTCAGCTAACGACAATAGTCTTCCACTTTTGAGCTGAACATGCTTAATCTGTTCATAATAATGAAAGTCGCATAATCGGTGCTCAATCGATCAACTTAGACCATTTCGGGGGATGTACCGCTTGAAATTAGGTTGATTGTTAGTCCCATCTA